CACACATCTTTCAAAAATGTCTACTACACTAACTTATACACTGAAAATTCGGAAAACTCACCGAAATCATTTCACTTCCGTCCTTCTAATTCAGTGGAGTTCGACCTACCTCACCAGGTCCTTGACAAAGGTCCAAATTTCACATGAGCGTCTTTCTTATCCATACCTGTTTTTCTCGATATAAGACTATGAAATGAGCTATAAGCCGTTGCACTAGTTACTCTCATCATACTAATCCAATAACATTGACTATCGACTGCTTCAAAGACTGGATTTTGTGAGAGACATTAACATTTTTCGATCACCTTCATACTAAACATTGATTTTTCTATGTAGATTTTTATCTGCCAACTGCCAAGATCTTTCAATAAGATCGAGACGTGCAGTGGTAGTTATTTGTTGAATGACACCAGAGTTTATTCAAAGACTATCTACTGCTTATTAATCTGAAACTATTAGTATTGAGGAAGATTTCTTTTTTGAGATCTTTCAAACATAAAGAGTGTTAGATTATTTATGCAGATAATATGCCACTAGTCGAGATCTTTTAAAAATATCGGAACGCGCTGTCGTAGTAATTGTGTTCAAACTCAACATTTGAATAAAAGACTATCTGCTGCCTTTGAAATTTGATTGAGATTAATGTTAGAAGAGGCCTTTTTGACTTTCTTTTAACTTAATTTTATTAAATTTCATTTATGCAGATCATTTAAACCACCTGACGAGACTTTGAAATAAGTCGAAACCGGTCGTGGTAGTTCTTTTTTCAAACTCATACTAACTCAAACACCAATCCTCATACGCCCTCACCCGAATTAGCAGCTTGAAACCATCACAGAGGTTTGTTCATGGTGATGGTGTCGCAGTGTTTCCTTTCTTCTTCCGTTCTGCCTCTATGTAAACAGCATCAAAAAGAGTCTCTCACACTCTCTCTTCTGTAACTGCACGGAGCAGATCACTTCGCACTCTTCACTCATTCTTCTGAAGCAAATAAAAATAAAAATCGTAAAAGAACACAATCATTTTACTTGTCCTCTGTCAAAAGTAAAGAACGAAGCTGATGGTGACGTGGTGAGGAAACAGCATACACACAGCTGAAATGTCGTACTTTTCAAGTCATGGAGACAAACTGAAAGTGAAACTACTAAGAAGACAAGAATTAACGCCTTCGAAGAATATGACCACATTCGTCGGATCATCACAGTTCTGCACCAGATCGACCGATAACACAGCTCAAGCGAATGCTCCAACAAGAAGTTCTTCTGTGCGATCTCATCTTTTCGACCGTGAGCGACTCAACCTTGAGTCACATCAGTTGGTCTGGTGCAAAACCCATGTTCACAGTGGCACTACAGAAGACATCACTCTCGAAGAACTACGTGAAATTGTCGACTACACCAAGCTCTTTGACAGTGACGAATCCTGCAAACATTATCTGCAAGAGACGCAACACATCGTGTCCTTCCTAGTTTGTTCAGAGAACATCGGCGAGCAGTTGATTCCAGAGATTCATCACTTGCACAACATTCGTTCAATTTACGTCTATTCTCAGAACAGTGAACACCATCAACAGTGGTCGGATCAGTACGCGAAGGTAAGATTAAAACTGAACTTCTTCGTAGTACAAGAAAGTTTCCACTGCAGGTCAGACAAGTTTACACAAATCGCAAATCCCTACTTCAGGCACTCGATAGTGACGTAAAGAAGTACCTGGAAAAGGAGAAGGACGGACTGTTTGGTAACTTCGACAAACAGGACAGAACCACAGAATCCGGCTCTGGCTCATGGTGGGTAACATTTATGGACGCTCTCTGCCACTTGCCTTATCTTAGAGAAGCGTGCCACCAGCGCCTCATTACTGAACTACGAAATTACTACGACGGAAAAGTCGGAGAGTTGCGTGTCATCGACGAATTCAAGCGTGATTATACCCCTGACAGGGCCGTCTGGTGGTACACACGGGATACCTTCTTTTTCCGCTTAATCAACAAAGCTAATCGACAACACAACGTCAGAGTGATGTTTGCATTCGGCTACTACATCAAGGATCTATTCCTCCAGCTGAAGAAAGAACACGAGATCTTCAAAGCCACAAACTCAGGCAACATGCAAGTGCAAGTGTTTCGAGGACAGATCATGTCTAAGGATGAAGTTGAAACATTAAAGTCCGCCTATATGGTGAGGCTAACCAGTTTTCTGTCGACATCACTCGATCGGCGTCTAGCGCTCAGTTTCCTTCCGCCCGTATCCTCGGTGGTGGAGGGCTGCGTCCGAGTACTGATAGAAATTAACCTGAACGCGAAGTGCAACTCCAAACCCTTCGGAAATATTTCCCATTTGAGCGAGTTCTCCAACGAGAACGAAGTACTCCTCATGATCGGAACGTTTCTCCGTATTCGGAAAAGTAGTTACAGTGAAGAAGAAAAGATTATCAAATTGATGCTGACATTGGAAAATGATTATATCCCGCCATCCGAGAACATACATATGAGTCTGAAAGAGTGCGTTAGTATCATTGCTGGAAAGGTGTGTAAAGACACTTCAGAAGAGGAGATTGACACTATTTTCGATGAAGCCGATGAATTATTTGCTTCGGAGAAAGAACGGCTGAAGGCTGAGAGGTACAGAGCCTTAGGTGGGTGTCACGAGGGATATGGTCGAGAAAACTACAACGCAGCACTGGCATACTACAAACAGGCTCTTACAATCTGGCAGAGATATCCCGAAGACAGTGGTGTCGAAATTGCCAATCTTCATCTGCACATAGGTCGCCTATATTACTATCACTTAGAAGAAGATAAATTGGCTCAGGAGCATTATAATTCCGCAACAGCTATGAGCACAACTACTCTGAACCATTTACAAGACGACGAAAGACAAAAAGCGGCGTTGTACCAGATCTTATCGACGGTTTACTTAGAGAAGGCAGAGATGAACGATCAAAAGGAAGAAGAAAGAACTGCTCTCCATTACGAACAACTTCGGCTTCAAGCTCTCCTCAAATTTTGTTCACCTATCGACAGAGAACTGGGTCTTTGCTACAGGAGTATTGCTGAGCTTCAGGAAAAGATGGGCGTCTTTGACGAGGCTCTGGTGAACTACGAGGAAACCTGTAAGGTTTATATCGCCCAGAACGATAATGAAGCTTTGTCTCGCACTTACCAGCGCATATCTCGCATCTACGAAGATGATCTCAAGGATCTTTCATCAGCATTGAGGTACCGACTTTTGAAACACCACGCAATAATACAGAGCAGTGAAATACTTCCATTTCACGACTTCCAAGAGATTGAAGATAGGAAGCACAGTGTGATTCAGAGTCACATACAATTAGCTGACATTCACCTTCAACTACATGGCTTCGAAGCAGCTCGTATAAGCCTGACAGCAGCCAAACAACTCTATGACGATATGGACTGGAAGAACCAAGTCAAAGATATTGATGAGCAGCTCGCAGCCATTGATCGCCTTGAACAAGACTCAAAATAGATTACGCACAATCTTTTGTTGGATAGCTTTTAACACATTCAACGCGATTCGGTTTTATTAGAGAGTAGCTCTAAAGGTTCATTTTCCTGTGCGTTAGTCTTTCGATAAATGCGCTCGTTGGCCTTTTCATTTGGTGCCGGTTCGTCTTTTTCTCTTTTCTGTTTGTACCATCGCATGGAGCGAAGTGACCATTCTGCATTTTTGGGAAAGTCTTGTGACCTTTACTGGTTGGCATGCCATTTGAGAATCTGAAACCTAGTCCAAGACAAAAATCAAAAAGCCATTCGAAGCGCAAACTAATTGATCACAAGCTCGAAGAAAAGGAAGAGTCTGCCCGCAATTTTCGAAGGCGTTGTGCTAGCTTGTATGAGAAAATCAGGCAACAACAATCAAGAGAAGCAAGTCATGCGGCAGCAAAGAAAATAAAAACCTTCTATTCTAATTGTGACAAATTTTTTGCCTTGATTGTTTCAACCAGAAGCACCACGCTATGCAATAAATAGTTCAACAATAGCAAGGCAGAGCAGATGACATATTACGTGTAATCTTCTACTCAAGAACAAAGGGAAAGAAAGTGTTTTTCTATTAAGTTTCTTGTTAAAATATACTAATTTTTTTTGAGACTCATAAGAGTAAAGAAATACCTTATCATTTGAATTTTTGAGAAAAATTGATCAGTATAAACTGCGATGTTTCGAGCCGAGAAAAACAGCTATTGGATGTGGTCAGCCAAGAACGTTTTATCAGATTCTTTCTTCCTTTTTTTTTTCTTTTTTTTGGTTTGGGATGTTGAGTTCATCGTAACATGAATGTTTATAACTAGCGAACTCTACAACTTCTTACACTTAGTTCAAACTTCTGCTGTCCACTGGAATTTTTAAATTAACTTTAGACGACATTACTTGAAACTAAGTTTAATTTTGCCTAAAACTCAATTCTGCCTGACACATATGCATCGTAAAGTAGAAAGTTTGCTATTATCTGTCGGTCAAAAAAATTAGGCTTCTAGCACTTTCTGTTCAAATACAACAGACCTTGACATTTGTACGGATACTTATGCATCGTAGGTTATGAGAGAAGCATTTAATAGAAGACTCTCTGATGAAAAAACAATTTCCCTAGAATGTCGAAAATTAAAGGAAAAGAAATATTTATAAAGAAACATCAATATGGCACAGAATAAAGTTCAATATTGTGTATTATCATTCACAGCCACTGGTACATGTAAAAGTTATGGTAAATGAGTTTGAGAAATCTAGAGAACTTTATCGAAAGAAATGAGCTTATTGTTGGTCTTTTTTTATTATAGATGAGTTGAAGCAATGGTGTCTTGATGATGATATTTATCAAAAATTGTACCCAGCAATTGCAAATAACATATTGTTAGAAGGTTTAACAGAATTCGTCCAAAATGAAAATAATAACCCAGAAAAGTCTGGTATTGCAAATTCAACAATATATAGAAAACCAAATGGACGTAAAATCGATTCTTCAAGAAATTATAAATTGGTACGTGATGCTGATGATCTTAATATATTTCATTTATATGTTGAAATTACAAAAGGACAAAATCGTGGTAAGTTTGTCGTTCTCCACTTTTCTAAAGATGCCCATAATAAGCTTCTTCTCTTCTTAAGCAATATAGATCATTTTAAAATGCTAACAAATTCGATGGAATGTGAGTTTTTATTAAAGGTGGCTTTAGAGAAGATGCGTGATTCTGGTATTAATAGTACTGCCAAAGACTTAAAAGATGCAGCTGATAAAGAAAATTTGTTTGTTGCTAGAGAACGTTGTGAATTTATTAATCGTTGTGTACTTGCAAATATTGCTATTACAACGGCAACGACACCTATATTATACGATGTAACGAAATTTGGTAATGATAGCAAACAAAAACCAAAACAACAACAAACGACAAAAAGAACAAAGAAACCTGTTGTTTCTACGTCAAAATGTTTAACAAAGTCGTCTGATAGTGAAGAAGATGACTACACTGAATCGGCTTCAAAATTAATGGTTAAGAATAATCGATTAACACCGAAATTAGATCGTCTACGACCGAGAACAGTTGGTGTAGGTGCCAAAGAATTGGCTGGTAATTCTCATAAACCTTCAAACAGCAGCTCATCGGATGGAAAAAAACGACAACAAGATGAAAAAGATGATGACAATATGAAACAAATCCTAAAGAAGAAACAAAAGACATGCAGAAAAAAAAATTAGACATTAAAGTTTTTTTCGCTGCTAAAAATTAATTACTCTCTCCCTCTATTCATTATGTGCAAGAAAGTGATACAGTACAATTGTTGTTAGTAAGAAAACTTGCATCATTATTTGTTGTCTTATGTCTTTTTTGTAAAAGATTATGTTAGAAAATAAAAGAAAATAAACCATATTATAACGAACACCGGTTCTTGTCTATTCCAAACATCCGGAGTATTTTGTTATGAACATTCGCCATCTGCTATTACGTATATCCATAGTTTTCATTCCAAACATCTGGACGACTCTCATTTCGTACATCGGTGTTTTTTGTTCCGATCTTCCGGATTTTTTCATTCCGAACATCCGGTCTTTTTCAAAGCAACGGGAGTTCGGAACGAACATCTATATCTGATGTCCGTAAAAAAAACGGGGACGAAAAGGGAGCGCCCCTCCAGTACAGAGTGTCTTTTTCTTGTGGAATCACGATTTCGAAGCGCCTCAGCAGAGAGATATGTCCTGATGCGTGTGATAAGGATTTCTGTAGCACTCTCAATAAGAGAGACGTGAGTGTATATGTATATTCATGCGAACTCGCGAAAATTCCAGCCAAAAATATCAATTCAAACGACTTTCTTCCTCATAGAGGTGTTTTGTCCAAGTTGAAATAATTTGCCAAAACGTGTTCTCCAATTGCTAAGATCTATTTTCAAACGGTCTTAGTCTTCGCGGACAACATTTTTCGAAGATGTTTCGAGATTTCGCATAAGTACATATATACACATGCGTCCTTCACTAAGGGTGACGGCGCCATAAAAATCTTATTGAAGGTGCTATGAAAATCTTAATCACATACACTTTAACACACGTCTCTCCACTGAGGGTGCTCGGAAATCGTGATTCCACATGAAAAACACATTCTGAACTGGATGATCTTTATCGAGGGTGTGGGTGTGGGTGGGTGTGGCTGTGGCTGTGGTTCAAGGGAACATCTATCTCAACATCAACACCCACACCCGCACGCACATCCCACAGCCACCCACACCCGCACCCACATCCCACACTCACCCACACCCATACCCACACCCACCCACACCCATACCCATACCCACACCCACACCCACCCACACCCATACCCACATCCACACCCACACACACCCCACCCACATCCACATCCACACCCACACCCTATCCGGTTTATATTTTCCAATCTCGTCTTTGTTATTCAACAATGAAGATAATTCTAGGGTGATGAATTAGCAATACGATGTATCTACAGTACAACCAATAAGAATGTTGTCACTTTGGTGAGTAGTTGTTCATGAAATTTGAAAAAACTAATCACAGTAATAATCTGGCGTGGGGAAGCAACGAGAAACGAAATGTGTTTACACATGTTTACTTACCATCCACGTATAAATAATTTACACCTTTGTTCGATGACCAATTCGAAGGAAGCATGGGCGCAAGTGACAAATAATTCAATGTTAGTGAAGCTTTCATTTATCTGTTTGCATGATATGTTTCTGTTTTCATAGACCTTTGGATTACAAAAGCATTGTCCAATGGTTAACAAATCGTCAGTGGACAACACAATCCATTGCTGATTGGCAAACTTTCGACAATTCGACTTCGAAAACTCTTATTTATGATAATGGTGATAACATAATCTTGGTTGATCTTCCGAAACTACCGGACTATCAAGATTTTGAACCATATCAATGTAAAAAGAACATCACTGATGTTGGTATAGATTCGAGACCGTCCAAACTTCGCTCACTGCTCAAAATAATGAAAATGACTTCATGATTTGAATAAAACAAGAATAGCTATCGAAAATAATTCTGTTTTTTCTATTTGTATTTCTGTCCAAAGAGCAGGGAAGAGGGCAGCAATCGATCCGCAACGAAAAGCATCGTATGTGAGAGGTCGTAAAATCACTTTCCGACGATCATAGCGAACCATGATGATCTACTAAATCTATCCACAAGAGAAGTCCATACAGGCATTGATGTCATCGAGAGTAAATCACGACCATTCTAAAAGGATCGATACGATCTCATCATTTCAAAACTGTAAAGAGAACTGTGTGAACTTGGAATGTGGTTGTGGATGTTAGACGAACACTACCTCTTGCACCCATACCTGCCCTACTTTTTTGAAACTTACACAAACAAAATATCACGCAAAATTATCAGATGCTAATGTCATCTTGCGAACCAAATTTCACTCATATACAATAATCATCAAAAATTTAAAACTACTCGATCTCTTTTAACTGAAATTATCTATACATCAAGATGTAGAAAAAAAAACATTTCTATATCTGTCATCTGTCAATTTAGAAAAACGAACATTTCAAATTGAAAATGATAGGATTTTATTGCTATTTTCAAATAAGAAAGAAACCATGAGAAAAAAGCATATTATGACCTCAATTGAAAACTTTAGTTTTTCATCAACTCATCTTTGAAACCAATGTTCACTGTGGTTTTTTTTTATTGGTTATTTCGTCTTATCAATTCGTCCAAGCGAGTTTTCAGATTGAGTTTGTGACTGTAGATGTAATTTCATCTTATCTTAGCCTATACCCACACCCACTTAATGAAGTTATATTTAACCGCTGAGTATCAATTTATACAAACATAGTAATTTGATTTTTGTATGACTGCGATACAAACTTTTTTCTTTCTGATTCACGCTGTTGGCTATCGTTCTTTATTAGTGTCGTGTTTTATTTTTCTAAGTGTGAGTGTCGGTATGTTCACTTGGTATCTACATAAGCGTCATTGTTGCTCAATGAATGTCACTGATTTAAGTGATACGTTTACAATAAGTATAACCAATAAACTTGGGAAAAAATTTGAAATTTGAACTCAAATGGATACACTATTTTAAACATTATAGGCACTTTTTGTGTGAAGAAGCATTTTACAACACTTTTCTCCAAATTCTTATTTTTTTTCAACAATCATCAGAGTTGAAAGAAATTTCTTTCACCATGGATGCTATCAACCATGGCCTATATTTTGATGAGAAAGTCTATCATTTCGTGTAGCTTCAACGATTATTCGAAATCAAATGATTATTAAAGAGATATAATCTGATAAATGTCGTTAATTACTAAAAGAGATGCGAGTTAGATGAGTGACTACGTGATTAACATTAACTAGTAGAGAATTTTTGATGCATCAGCTATTTATACTAAAAATTTCGATTTAAAAATAGTTCTTCAAGCGAATTTTCTCTAGAAAATACCTAAAAGATGAATTTCTTGCTTTTTGAAGAGATATAGCGAAGAGAATCTCACTGTTTCGATATAAGTTGATGTGGAACTTTGTTTCACAACCAATTGAAAAAGGAATATCTTCTTAACTCTATTGAGATGTTACAGATATGTGAGCTATTCAACAAAAAAGTAACATTTCAGTCGTCTAAGTGAATGCACCAATCCTAAAAGTTTAAAGATTTTTCACCAAGAATATAAATTTATTTAGAGAGCGATGTCTGAAAAAAAATTATTGATGTATAATACCGTCACCATAGCAAAAAAAGAAAACTTAGGGATAAGCGAAGGTTTGTAATGAAACGAATGCTAAATTTCGTTGATCTTATGTTTTTATTTCTCATTCGACGATGCTTCAGTTTCACCAGAACTACATTTTTTGTTTTCACTTGTAATTTGAACTGGATCGGATATTACAGCTTTCGAATTACCTGTGTTGTCTTCTGAACTGGATGAAGCTTTATTTTCTTTACTACTTGAAGACTTGTCAGCATTTTCAGAAATGTCATCTTGATGTGTAGCAACTGCAGAAGCTTGATCGTCATCATCTTTACTTGTTAAATGTTGATTATTTTCATCATTGTTGACAACGTTTTGATCATCGTTGGCTCTGATAGTTGTAACCAGTAGACAGACAATGGCAAAACACAGAATGATTGTTAGACGCATATCTCACTGTAATCTTATTTGAATAAAAATAAATATATTAACTTTCTTTCCTTTATATAGTTTTGCAAGGATATCGCATATGTAAATATTATAAAACAAAAGTCCAGCTGTGACATATCAATTGTGTTATATTTATCCTGATATATTTTATGATGCACTTTTTTCTAGTGTTATACTTTATTTTTTGTGTACTTATAAAGTGTAAACATCAATAAATGGAATTAATTCTGATGGTTGATTTTTCGAATTTTTTTTTTCGGTAGAAATATTAGTGCATTTATTTTCATCCATACAGGAGAATGTAATAAATTGGATACGTTTTATTTTAAAAATAATAATAGAAAGATACGAAAGGTTACGTATACTATATCTATCGAAAAAAAAAATTCGATGAAAAAACGACTATTTATCATTGGCAGATTAGGGTGTCGGTGTGGGATGTGGATGTGGATGTGGGTGTGGGTGTTGGCGTGCGGGTGTGGGGGTGGGTATGTGGATGTGTTTCTAATTATACCCACACTCACACCCTACATCTCATACCCACGCCCACCCACAGCCACACCCACCCATACCCACATACACTCACACCCACACCTGCACCCTCATGCCTACACCTACACCCACATCCGCACCCCCATGCCTACACCCACACCCTCATTTTTGTGAAGTGTATGTAGTTCATCAGAAGGATTAGAAAAATCTTTTCTCAACCTATCAAATTCCTGTAGACTTAGTCTTTGTAATTCTTCACGTGCATATGTTGCTGTCTGTTTTATCAATTCAGTTGTATCTGATTCCCATTTGTTGGTTGTCTCTAATTGTGTTCTGATATAAATTGGTTACTGCTGTTCAAAGGGTATGGAAAGTATCTGTTGCAGCGCATTTCTCTCGTTCGCTACTACATTTTCGAATAACTCCGTCAGATACTGTCGGTGACGTAAAATATGTTGCAAACAGAAGTGTTTTTGACATTCAACAAATAATAGCATACTGTGTTTTGGCTTTCGTTCATTATCATTAGTCTCACATGTAGGGCAAAGCTTCAATAAAGTGGCACAACCCATTATTTGTCAAAGAAGAATATGCCTTTATTTATATGATTTGTTTTTAATCAAAACGTAACCATATATAAATGTGGAAACATCGGATTTAAATCTGAGAGTTATGTGTCCTTCAAAAAGTGAATTAGGCAGATGAGCCATCTTAGAATGTGTGGTCATAAAAATTATTCTGGCAAATCTTGTCTATTAACACCTGAATTCTATTGGCTACTGCTCAATCAATAGGATTTGCGGGTGAATACAGCTCAGATTTGAACTCTTCACCTTGATTTACCTTAAGAAACTCGTTTTTTCTATAACTTGATTTCTATTGGTTACTCCTCAATCAATGGGATTTCGAGGCGAATACAGCACAGATTCGAGTTATCCGCTCCAGAAAGCCTCGAACTATCATCTTTGTGATCGAAAGATAGAGCTATAATTGTGGACCACATAGAGGGTGGACAAAAACAGAACCGAGTTCTGTTTAATTATCTGTCTAATAGGTGAGTTAGGTTTCTTGTTTCCTTATGTTTTATATACCATTTTGTAGCTTGTGAAATTCTCTATCGAATGGTGTATAATAGTTGGAGTTTTATTTGACTATGATAGGAAAAGTTGTTTACAAAAGCGGGGAGGAGTCGATTTTCGCATAGGAAAGCCATACGGAAACATGACTATTTTCGTAGTAACTCAGCAATGGCTCGGCCAATTATTCTCATCTTCGAACTTGACCGCGACATTGTTGAGACTAAGCTGTGTAGAAAATTTCATCGCGATCGAACTCTCCTTTCGAAGGTTATTGTGTAAACGGAAAGACACATTGACCGATTCTAGAGTGTACTCACTTTTTTGAGTACACAAAGAAGACAAAAATAAAATAAAAGAACGACTTATGCTCAGCAAAAGAATATTGATGACACTTTTCATTTTATAGAAATTCAAATCAACCTAAAATATCAAAATCCGAAAGTAACGTAGCATACTGATTCTTCTTCATTTCTCTTTAAATAAAGTGAAATGGATTACAGAGTAAATAAAAAAAGTGAATGAGACAGATGAGTCATCCTACACTGTGTGGACATCAAAATTATCCTTGCAAACCTTTTCTATAAAATGCTTGATTTTTATTGACTACTGTTCAACCAGTAAGATTTACGGACGAATACAGCTCAGATTTGAACTCTTCACGTTCAATTACCCTAAGAAAGTCGTTTTTCCTATAACTTGATTTCTATTGGTTACTGTTCGACCAATAGGATTTCGAGGGAAATGGAGCTCAGATTCGAATTCTCCGCCCCAGAAAACCTAGAAGTATCATCCCCGTGATCGAAAAACAGAGCTCTAATTGTGGACCAGTTAGAGCGTAGACAAAAACAGAATTAATGCCTTTTTAATTATCTTTGCAATAGACGAGTTAGCCTTCTTGTTTCTTTATGTTCGATATACCATTTTGTAGCTCGTGAAATTCTCTATCGGATGGTATATAATAGTTGGAGTTTTATTTGATTATAATAGTAAAATTTTTTTTACAAAACTGGGAATAGATCGATTATCCTATAGGAAGCCATAGGGAAAAATGACTATCTTTGTATAACTCAGGAACGGTTCGGCCAATCATCCTCGTCTTCGAATTCGACCGAGATATTGTTAAGACTGAACTGTGTAGAAAATTTCATCGTAATCGGACTCTCCTTTCAAAAGTTATCATGTAAACGGACGGGCGGACACACTGACCAATTCTAGAGTGTATGAACTTTTTGAGTACACATAAAAAGAGGGATAGAGAACAGAAAAAAAAAACTTAAAATTCATCAGTATTCTTTTGGCAATATAATTGAGATTACTGAAGAAAAAAAAGCAAAGAAGATTGTTCACTATGACTACTTTCCATTTCGGAATAGAATCACTTCAAAACATTCAGGTTGTGTATGATTCGCGTGAACAATTCGCCAGCGGATTATATCATAATTGGTTCTGCAATATTTTTATTCTCTACCAAAAGGCAAAGAAACATGTACTAATTTAAAAGTAAATATATGAGAAATAATGAGTTACAATAATGAATATAATAGAAGATATTAAAAAAACAATATTAAATACATTTAGGCGAATATATTAATTAAATTCAAAATAAATGCATAACTATAAATCACATTCTTCGGTCATTTTTGGTTGAATGAACTACAATAATATCAAACAAAATCGAATATAACCTTAGGCTATTCTAAATAGATTAACAGTATGTTCATGAGTTTCAATCGATAAAGAAGGTACTTGTTAGACAGTTCTTAAACTGGTTAGTGAATAAATAAATCATTCAACTACAATAACATCTAATGATCTAAAGCCAACCAGATATATGGAATTCATCAATAACATCAATTAAAGAAAAAACAGGAGGAGCAATAGAGTTTTATATATAGAATAGAAGGTATAAACACCCACAGAATATGCAAAGAATATTAATGAACAGTTATAGAAAATACTAAATATTTTGTTTAGTTGTAATTCACATATTTTAAAATGAGTACAACACTTGAACATACCAATCTAATTTAAATCACATATGTCAACTAAAAGAAAGCCAATGGAAAAAAAGCCAAAAGAAGAAGAATCATCTTGCTGATGTGACAAGTCGAAATTTCTAATCAGATTATTGAAGAATTTGAACTATGTATTTCAATAAAACCTTTGTTCATTATCATTGAGTAATGAGATTTATTGCGTGTTTATCTAAATTTTCATTCAGGTTGAAGTGAAAGAAACATTACTAGCAATACATCTTAATCCTTCTTTGGAAGCTGCTAGTGAATTGAAGGTTGTGACATTCAACATTAGTACTGATAAATGTACGACAAGTATTGATACTTTAAGCCACAAAAATAATGCATAAAACACAGAACATTTTTTTTCGACAATGAGAATTCGGATCAGATAACACTAATAAAAAGCTTTTTTATTGATCAAAAAATGGTCAAATTTTCATTTATATTTTCCTATTATAATATTGACAAAAGGTGAAAAGAGAACTGCACTACACAAATAAATGATTTTTAATTAAACTGATTTCTGTCAATATGGCCTAAACATTATTGACGTACAGGATAAGACTTTTGAACTATTTTGTAAATGCTATGATCGTAGTGAATCTTTACATAAATCCGTCAATACATTTGAATGATAAGATTAGCATATCAATTAGATTTTTTAAAATATTGATTATTGTTAATAATAGAGTAAGGAAAGAGAAATAATTCATATTTTCTCTTCGCAAAAACTGTGTCATTAAGTTGCCAGAGATTCATTTATCATAATCTTGTATTTGAGGATGTACACAAAAATTCTGCATTATTTGAATCGCGAAATATGTTAAAGAATTGAAAATACACAGAAAACAAAGCCAGTTACGGACTATTTATTCTACTTCAAATAATCTTTCTTATCTTTTATCGAAGATAAAAATAAATATTACAAGAGAAGAAATCCGACTTTTAATAACTGAATATTTATAAAATGAACTTTTCCTATTTAGGATTTAGGTATTTATATACATTGAATGTAAGTTAAATGAATGTTTATATCAGATTTCAAAGAGAAATTCAATTCTTGTTCAATATTCAAAATGATAAATGCATTTAAATTAGATCAATCAATAAACATAATGATGATTATCAAATATATCCCATAAGAAAATGAAGATTATTTATTTTAATTACAATTCACAAATTCAGAATCATATACAGCTATTCCTAGATGGTTATTACAGGGATTGCAAATGACTGATCTCATTTATGTCTAACATATTTTTAGAAAAAGAAAACAAGAATAAGTGTGTAAATACGAAGAACAGATCACAGAAAAGCATGTGCAAATTTGTATCTTGGTATTCGTTCTAAGAGTTATATGAGATAGAAAAAGACCCGAATCGTGTAATTGATCGGAGTAGTTAAGAGCGGT